GTCCGGCAGCGAGATCTTCACCGCCGAGCCCAGGCGCGCGCCCAAGGCGCGGAGGGCGGCCGGGCCCAGGCGACAGCGCTGGGTGGCCCTGTCTTAGCATCTACGGGTAGCAGCTTTAAGAGCGGCCCTTCGGGAAAGGGACCTGAGTCCGGAGCCATTGCACACGGAAGGCCCGAGTAAGGCAGGGCAGGAACTCCACCCGGGCCGGAAAAGCCGGTACACCGAGCTCCTTCGCCGGAAGCAGGCGATGCGCATGCGTCAGGGAATATTTAGTTGCCGCTCGGGACCAATCAGAAAGTCGACGATCCGGCCCTCTTCCCTGGCTCCCGACTCAAACATCACTATTTGTGCTTCAGGAGTTATCAGCCTGGAGGCTTCGCCATTTTGCTAAGAAACCTCGACTGTGCTGAGGGGCACAGTATTTTGGAGTGCACTGGTGCTCACGTCTTAGATGAGTTGGAGTAACTCAGAAATACAGCCTTGTAGGCACCTTCGATATGCTGGGTTCCAACCTGTTAGGGAGGTCCAGACATGCCCTTCGTATAGAAAAGCACCAACACAGCAAGAGAGAAGGCCAGTGTAGCACTTTAAATCCCTTGAAGAAGGGAAAGAAGGAAAACTAGGTCATTTGACGTATTTGTGCAACACCAATACATTCTGTTCAGATTCCTGACTTCTCTTTTGAATGTTCTTTGACAACTTAATCATAACCTCTTCTATTCGTGTGGTAAGTGTTAAAGTCAAGATAATATGCCTTGTTTTTATCCTACTCACATCTACCTTTGTTTTTCCCACTTTCACTGTAACCCACATTTATGAGATTACAAACTTGAGATTGCAGATAGAGTGCTTAAGTCACTGGGGTTTGGTTGCTTCTCCCCCGCCCACCCCAACCCCACTTAAGTAAATAATCAGTTGCAGACTCTACGGCGACGTATTTTCAATGGAAAGTACTGGGATCTGGGATTTTCAGACCAATGACCGTCACTGGCCTCACTCTACCCAAACGTCAGGGCAGACACTATGACCGACTTCCGGATTTCACCGTCACTTACCTGGTCTCTGCTGTATGCTTCTAGCTCCTATGCTGGAACAACTTAAAAGGAACCAGAAGACAGCATACTAAGAGGAGGTCCTGAAATGGGTAAATCACCTATTCTATCCTATTTTCTTCTTTCTCTTAATCTTACTCGTTTCTATTCTCCTTGGAGAACAAAGACTTCAAACTCAGACTTTTCAATAACAGCTTTGTTTGTCCTGAAATTAAAAAAAAACAAACAATGTTTTTACCTCCGAAGATGTGAATAAAATGCCCGTTGAGTTATTCTATCATGATGCCTTTACCTGACAGAGGTTCTTTTGTTCTGGTTCTAAGAAGTTTTGGTGATCCAAAAAAGAGAAAGAGGACTTAATGAGGACATGATAACTGTCTTAAATATACAAAGGGCTATCATATAAAAGGGTTGGTAGATTTATGTGTATCTACAGTACAGAACTGGCCAGGAAGTGAAAGTTTAATGGAGTGAACACAAGAGTCATCTTCAAATTTTGCATATAGTTATGTGGAAGAAGTAGGAAACTTTTAAAAGATATAGCCAAGGGGCATAACCAAAGCCAATCTAGGGAACCAAATAAAGTTAAATCACTTAGAATTTTTTTTAACTTGGTATAAAATAGATGTAGAGGTGCAATATTAGGGATATGATGTGAAGGAAACCACATGTTTTGGGTTGGTCTGAAAGGCTGACTTTATACAAGGTCAAACTAGAATTATCTGACCTTGTAGGACCCATATATCCAGGAAATACTCACTTCTATCTCTCTTTAAAAGGTTTGGTTCTCACCCTAGGCTGCAAACAATAGTAATCAGGAATCCTGTTCCTGGACTTTCAGCTCTTATCCACACATTCTCAGCAGAACTACAGCTGTCTTTTCCAGTCAGCCAGTGAAATCCACTGTGTCCCTTTAGGGCAGACCATTTGCAACACTATTAATTCAATTATCTTAACATACATGCCTATCATACCATTTAATGAAATAGTCTTCTCCTTGTGGGAAACCACTCTAATAGGAGTTGTGTGGTTCTTTTATTTATTTGTTTTGAATATGACCCAAAATGTGGTGATTCTATAAACTGAAGAGTACCAAAAGGTTGAACCACTAGAGGGAGTCCAGAACTAAAATAAGTGCTAAGGCTACAAGGTTGGTGAGTTTGAAGTGCTCTCAACTGTGGCTTCTAGGTTTTCCCAAGATTCAAACCCAGGTGTATGAAACAATCTGTTGTGTATGTAGTTACTTATTTTCACATAATTTCCACCTGTCCCAGGCCATGTAGAACTCACCTTCCAAGTTATAACTTAATTGCTATATTAAATATCAAAATGAGACTCTCAAAATCCAAAATTTTGTGATGGCTCAAAGTCCAAACAAACTGAATTTATCTTGCTATTGTCTGGAAATAATTCTAGCTTTGAATTGTTTCTAATAGCCTGTTAAACAAAATCTTTGGTGAGATTTTCCTGAAGAGATGCATTTAACAAATAGTTTCTTCTTGATTTCATTTGCTACATTCAAGATTACAGTCTAACACTAAATTAACCATAAACATTCTGAATTAGCAATAAATTTAAAATTAAAAAGAGATAGTTGGTCTCATTCAGAAACGTCCTCATAGACCAAATGGATGCTCCAGTCCAGTACCACTAGCAGAAAGGGCAAGGGATGCTCAAACTTGAGGAAGCCGTGCTCAGGCTAGGCCCTTGGATGAAGTGAAGCCAGTTTGCAACCAGTGAACCTGGGACCAGGTCATAGAGAGCAGGCTACAGCCATAGTTGGAGTGGTCTGGCCTGGTTCAAACTCTGCTCCAGCCAACAAAGGAAAAACCAGCTGGTTTGGGGTCTCTGCCTTTGCCTCTAAGTCCTGCTGTGACTTCTCCCCCCATGGTTGCTGAAGAAAGAAATTTTAAAAAAAAAGTTGGAACCTGTTTCTTTTTTAGAATAATTATACACTATCTCTGTGCCTGCAGTATCAATAATATCACATTAAATATTATATTTCAGGATGTGAAACATGCCACAATTGTGAAAAATCTGAAGAAAATGGTTAAGCCAGTAGCATGAGTCATCTAAGGACCCATGAATGCTAGTCTTTCTTATGCTTCCATCTTCATGTTATGTTCAACTCTGGTATATTTGAACAGTAGCAATGATCATGAGTTTTAATAGATGTGTCTGGAAATACAGTTAACCACACTTGAAAAGGCATGATTTGCATATGCTTTCACCTCAACATGTTCATGCAGATACATCAAGTGACTTATTTCCTCAGACATTTAATATGCCAAACAGACTTTCTTCTTTTAAAGTATATAATGAAAATCCCCTGAAAGAGGTCATCATTAAAATTGTTCTTTAAATTTTTCCATCTTTAGTCTTTCTCATATACCAAGGCTAGAACTGTTCTTGACAAGATACAGAGTCAAGGGAAGGGAGGTGATTAGAGCCATGAGAAATCTTCACTGGACTACAAATGACCTGCAGACTATAGTTCACAGAACATTCTGAAAGGCTGGTCTTGCAGATTTTCAGGAAACTGCTTGTTTCATCATTTTTTCGAAATAAGTCTTAAAAATAATTATCCCCTGTGTTGTTGGTTCAAATTGTTCAACTCATAAAAGTAATAATATTCATTTATTTATTAAACAAATATTTATTGAATATCTACTCTGTGTTACTTACTGTACCAGAGGCTGAATATATATGGTGGTTAAAAAAAAGTGTAATTCTGTTGCCTTCATGAAGTTTATAGTTAAGTGGGGAAGTCTGACATTAAAGGACTCAAAATGTAAACAAACCAGATAATTAAAGGTGATAAAAATTGCTATGAAAGAAAATAAAACAAAATGGGCTACTTGAACACATGGAAGCAGGGAAGGCCTCTCTGATGAAGTGACATTTAAGCTGAAACCTGAGGGATAAAAACAAACAGGCAGAAGAATTGGGGATAGGGGCAGGTCTGGGTACCAGAGAGGGAAGACCTATGCCAGTGCCCTGAGGGTGGAACATGCTTGCTGTGTTTAAGAAATTAAAAGAAGGCCAGTTTTGTCTATACCATAGTTTTGACACTTTGATGCTATTTTTTTATTGTTTTACATAGATAGATACTTCATTACTCCAAGTAGATGTTAACTTGTTTAAGGACAGAAACTAACTTTAACAATACGTATCTATGGTATATAGTATACAGGAATATAGTTGTGCTCCACAAATACTTATTGAATTGAATTTGACTCAAATTAGGGAATAGAGTCTGGTAACCCTTTTCCTACATGGGTTAGATCTTATTCTATCCAGACACATCAGATGCTAATCAGGGCAGACCTAAGCAGACCTCAAGGGGAATCTTCAAGGAGGATGCCCCTGCCCCTGACTGAGGCCACCTCTCCTGACACTTCTATCATTCATCTCTCCCTCTTTTGCCATTTAAAAAATTTCAGTTAAATCAATCATTATAAGAGTCTGTTAAAATTCAAGATCGTTGCCACAATCATTGCTAATGTTCAAATACTGTATCTTAAGGTTGAATATAACACGCAGTTGGAAAACCCCGTGCTGCTGACTTATCTAAATGTTCATCTTTCCATTTCTCTTCCTACTATCAATAGGAACCCTTAGCACTTTTATTGGATTATTGCCACAGCCCCTCAACTAAACTCCATCCCTCCAGTCTCTCCTCACATTGCCACTATATTAATCCAGCCAGGGGACTACTGTACTTTGACCGGTTTGGGGGTTATATTTATCTTAATAAATTCTAGATCAAACATTCAAAGCTTTCTTAGAGTGTAATAGAAAAGAACAAATCTG